CACAAAATTTCGACATTGACATTGACATTTGACATTGTAAATGTAAAATTTCGTACGACTTTATTCCGTTGACAACAAAATCTAATGTTGCCCTTATGGACAACTAACCTTACTTTCGGTTATCACTGGAGAAAGCAAAAATTGTCATCTATCCTTGCTACTTACAGAATTACACAAGGTCGACCAAATTATGATTTTTGAAATTCCATGTTCACCACTGACAATATATAATATATACAGGGTGTTATGTAATTAATGTTATATATTAAAATACTGAATACCTTTTGACATAAGGAATAAAGGAAAAATATTTAAAAAAACATTTTTCCAAAGATAAAGAAAAAATATGCATTAGAAGTTTTTTATATTTTTTGTGATACGCCACTGGTCACACACTTGGTTTATCTCTGCACACTTGTATTTTGTGAGTACATACAGGGCCTATTTTACCTAAAGGCCCATAAGGCCCGGGCCTTGGGCCCGGAGGAAAATGGGGCCCGAAAAAAGCCCTTAAAAAAAATTATAAACCATTTCAATTTAAATTTAAAATAAAGCCATACCTAGGTATTTTATAAAGAAAATTAAATATTAAATAAAAGTGGTTTAGATTGGTATAATAACGATATTGATATTATACCTATATAATTTTAGTTAGATTCAAAAACATAAAACATCGGCGGTCTCTTTTACGGCGTTTTTGTTTATGCCGCTATAAGTACCGACAAATCTTTTGCTGACGAATTACGAATTACGAATGAAAAAGCTGCCGCTCCACGCAATCTTTATTACCGCCTAGTCCTAGTCGAAAGTATTATTGTGAATTTTATAATTTCTTTTTACAATTGCAATCGTCCGAACTCCGAAATTTAACTTAAGGTAAGTTATAATTATTAATTAATATATTATTTTTGCATATGTTACGCGGCTAATGTGCAAACTTGGATAGTTTATAAACTAGCTGGATAGTTTATAAACTAGCCAAACTGTTAGCTATTTTAATTGAAAATGTATTTTCACTAGTAATACCACTAGAGGTCAAATTATTTCCGGAAATTTTTTCGAGCTCATGAATATTTTGAAAATTATCCCGAGTCGAAGACGAAGCTGTCAAGCTGCACGACGTAAAAAAATGTGAAATTGTCTGCTGTAATGATCAATCATCGTGCAATGACTTATTTACCCGCATTATTAGAGGATTGTGGCTCCTACTTGAAAGAAAATTTGATTTGAATTGTTCACGAATATTTGCATCCTAACTATTCAAAACTCAAAGTGCTAAATGGAAAAAAAGGTGAATAGAATAGTGTCTAAATATTATATATATTTCATTAGACATAGACATTTAATTTATTTCAAGTCCTGCATTTTCGCCATTAAGAAGAAAGGAGGTGTCCAACGAATATAGAAAACATCTATTTGTAATGGAAATGTATCAAAATTATCATGTAAACAAATAAAAACCAGATTGTCAAAAAAATATTCTGTCATTATAAACGTCAAAAAAATTTCCAGTATAATTCGCTGTTGAGCCGCGTCCAGATTTGTACCACGTCGCGCAACCGTACCACGTCGCGAACCACGTCGCGTGCAATCTGGACGTCGAAACGAACGCCGTCGCGAACCGAATAAGCGCTTATTCGGTTCGCGACGGCGTTCGTTTCGACGTCCAGATTGCACGCGACGTGGTTCGCGACGTGGTACGGTTGCGCGACGTGGTACAAATCTGGACGCGGCTTTGGGTACCCACGAGGAAAAAATTTCCACTAAAATTCAACCGTTGCCATGGTGATCTATCAAAAATACACGTTTTGATTGGTTAAAAATTACAGGTGTGGAATTTTCACTTATAATACCACAAGAGCTTCAAAATTATCGGGTATTTTTCCCGATAGGTTCGTTGCAAACAAATGAAGGAGTCAAGTTTTTCAGGTTAAAAAATCACGAGCGCGAAGCGCGAGTGATTTTTCCTGAAAAACTTGACGACTTTATTTGTTTGCAGGGAACCTTGAGGGAAATGCCAGATAATTTTGAAGCTCGTGTGGTATTCGGGGGATTATTTTTCCTGAAAAACTTGACGACTTTATTTGTTTGCAGGGAACCTTGAGGGAAATGCCAGATAATTTTGAAGCTCGTGTGGTATTCGGGGGATTATTTTTCCGTCCCAAATGTCGGCCAATAGAATTGCACCATGAGACGAAATGTACAGTTAACAAATAAGAATTTCATAATGAATAAAACAACATTTAATTAAGATTTAATTTGTTTTTTATATATAGCAACTACCAGAGAAAATTTTCAAAAAATTATCGCTGTAATTCGCTGTAGGTTCCCTCAACAACAATGCCTCAACAATGTCCCAACAATACAGAGAACTGTCAAAAAAAATAATCAACTAAATTAGCGGCTAGTTTGCAAAATAACCAAGGATCTTGGCTAATTTACTTGAAATTATTAGGGAAACTAAAATAGCTGGATAGTTTGTATACTATCCAATTCAATTTGGCTAATATGAAAACCAAAATTTCTAGTAACACAAAATAGCCAAGCTTTAGCTAGTTTGTAAACTAACCAACTAATTCTCTGGCTAATTTATTAAAAAAGTGAGGTTACGGCATTGTTTTTCGTTTTGTCGGCGTAACCGGATTTGTTTTGTGCATTTTAACGTTTTTAAAATGAATTATAGGCAAAATTTTAACGCTTCCTTGTTAGAAAACTCAACAACACAACCCTACCGACCCCGCCCCATTGGTCAAATGGTCATAAATGAGAAAAAAAACCCAAACCAACCCAAACAGCAACACAACCGAAGTTTTGCTTGGGCCTTGGGGCCCCACTAAGTCTAAAATAGGCCCTGAGTACATAGATACCAACCAACAAAGTAGCTATGCGTTGCCAGATGTAAAAAATTGTTACTAAAAATTTTTCTTGCAAAAAATAAATAAAAACTCAATAAATACAAAAGTTTTATGCCCTTAAAGCTCTAATACCCTTCTATATTTATTTACTGATCCATCTATTAGCTTAAGCAATAATTAAAAAATTTAGTACCTTTGAAATTTGAAATCCATAACCACAAAATTAATTTTTTCATCAGTTTTTTTCTCTGTTTACTCAGATGAAATTGGGACCAGTTCACAGGTTAAACTTTAAACATTTAATTTGTGTAAATAAATCCAAAAGCACTTCCCTTAGTTAAGATATTTACAATTTGAAAACATAACCTAAAATTTAAAAGAAATGCACTATATATAGATTCTGTCATAAAAGTTGGCAGATTTTGTTTGAATTTACCTTCAGTACAAAAATGACATAACCAACAATTAATAAAAACGCCAAATTGACAATTTGCATTGTTAATTTTGTCAATTTTGTAATTAAGCTAAATTTAAACAATGTTTGTCAACTTTTTTGAGAGATTTTGGAAACACTGTTGTTACCAACCATAACATAATAAATCCACCAGATTAACCTAAAGTTCCTAGTCGATCAGTGGCGTACTTTTTGGTAGGATAAAGGTTATTTTAAATTATTTTTAGACTTTGGAATTTAGAAAAAAAAAAGTTTCAGGTGCTTCTTTATGGACCCTAAGGAACAACCCATTTTAATATATAACATTAATTACATAACACCCTGTAGTATAAAGCGATTGCCTTCCTTCTTTCCTCCCTTCCTCACGTAAAATATGAACAATACAAAACGTACGGGAATCTATAAATGGCACTACAATTTTCGTATTGTTCATATTTTACGGGGGGAAGGAAGGAAGGAAGGAAGGAAGGAAGGAAGGAAGGAAGAAAGGAAGGAAGGGAATCTATAAATCAGGTACAAAAACGTGCCGTATACCCTGCCCACAACTCGGAGGCTATATACATATAATCTCTGAGTTGTGGGCGGAGTTTACGCACCCTAGATTTTTGACTGACCAATCACAATTCGTTTTATTTTATCTTTGTGGTAGAAGAAACACGGCTATTCGCGAGATGCGAGGGCCTGATTTACCTATAAACAATTGCCCAGGGCCCCCAATTCACACATGCATGGCAATTTTGTAGTTGTAGGTATGCATTTACAATTTTTCAGATAAAGAAAAAATTGCTCTTTCGTAAATAAAAGAAAAATAATATTATTTTACCTACCTAATTGATTTGAATAGAAATTATAACGGTTTAAGCATTGATTAAGGTTTTACTCAACGGTTTAATATTGCAATATTAAACCGTCATGACACACTGTGCCAGGCAATTATACACTCTAGCACAAGTATTGTTAGGGGTTCCTGATGTGTTAATAACAATTGTAATTATTGTATAAATAATTATTGTAAATCTGTGGGTAAAAGGCATAAGGGGATAAGTCAAAAAAAGCAATTTTTCAGTAGAGCCTTAAACGTATTCGCATTAATTTAGAAAACATATTTATGGTTAGCGGGTATACCCTTTTGTTACCACATGTCATATGCTAACAAAAGCGTATACCCGCTAAACATAAATATATTTCCTGAATTAATGCGATCACGTTAAAGGCTCTATTGAAAAATTCCTTTTTTTGACTTATCCCCTTATGCCTTTTACCCACAGAAATGTAGTGTTTGTTTAGTTAAGTTTTATTCGAACTGTTTAAATAAGTGTTTAGAGTTATTTTTTATAATGGGCAAAGAGTTTTTTGTGTCAAATTAATGTTTCTTATTTTACCTTTATGGTCATATTAACCATAGAAATAATACTATTATTATTATTAGTATTATTTCTATGGGGAGCGCAATAGAGATTCTCTATTAGAGAACCGTTTGACGGGACTGTAGACACGGCGTTTTTTATATTAAATTTTTCCAACCTGCGAACCAAAATTATTATTGACGCCCGGGGCTTTAAATTAACATTTCAATATTTTTATGTGCACATTTACTGTTAAAAGTGGGTAAATTTGTTCAACGGCTATCCCATCAAGTGTATCCATGGCTTCCAATTTCAGATTCTCCTACTGTCAAAATATTGAGGTTATGTCGATCAGCTGTGAATCATTGAATGTTATGTTTACGCATATTTTGTAACGGTTTATCGTGAACTAAAGTTTCTAATCTAATTTTTTAATGTCTAATTAACAAATGTAACGTTAAATAATCGATATTTCACTAGAAAAACCCAGTGAAATCGTGAAAAATTAAAATGTCTTCATATTTACGGGGTTCCCCTAATTACGTCTGGTCTACGACGAGTATTTTGGGCAAAGGGGCCACTGCTACAGTGCACCAGGGTGTGAATAAAGTAAACGGTGAGCCAGTGGCAGTAAAAACATTTAACCATATAAGCACATTAAGACCTCTTGATGTACAGCTAAGAGAATTTGAAGTTCTTCGTAAAGTTAAGCATGAAAATATCGTTAAATTGCTTGCTATTGAAGAAGAGCAAGATAGTAGAGGTAAAGTTATTGTTATGGAACTGTGTACTGGTGGAAGTTTGTTTAATATACTTGAGGATCCCGAGAACACTTATGGGTTAGAAGAAAAGGAGTTTCTGTTGGTTTTAAAGCATTTATTTGCTGGGATGAAGCATTTACGTGAGAATGAGTTGGTGCACAGAGACCTAAAACCAGGTAATAATCTAGATAACCTCAAAATATAGTAAAATACAAATCCCATCTCAAATATCTCCAATGTGACAAATGTTGAACAAGTACACTGAAAAAAATTTACGAAATTTTACACATCCAAACACACATTTATTTCTGTTTTTTTACTTAAGAAATGTGTTGTTCCATATAAAACATGTACACACATACTTACATAAGTAAAATAGCATCAATTTATGTATTTTTTTAAATTAATATGTAGTTTTTTATATTATTATGTAATAAATCCTTAAATTTATGTACTTTTACAATTTTTAATGTACTTGTACTATTATTTTCCTAAATTTTACATATACATGACCTTTGCATTTTTACACATTATATGTAGTTTTACAGTATGTTTGTACATATACATTTAAATACGTGGCATCAAAATAACCAACGATCAGATGTGTAAATTTACTAAATATTTTTTTGAGTGTATGTTTTTACATGATGGAATTGTTGTATTCACTTCATACTACCTACATACTAAAGAAGGAAATATTAAATATCCTACTAATTTCCCTGCTTAAAATACCTCATAGAGACCCTGTTCAAACCAATAGATATTTGTATCGGAATGTATGGTGTTTCTATAGGGATATCCATCCTTTTATTTGCTATTGGTTTCAATGGGGAAAATACACATAAATGTAGAAATTAGTTTTTCCCCCATAGGTTTTAATAAAATTTTGTCAAATATTTTATGGTTCTTCTATAGGGATATATCCCTATATAATATATATAGTATATATCCTTCATTAAGTTATTTGCTATCAGTCTCAATAGGGAAAATGTAAAAGTTATGGTGTGCCTATAGGTAATTTCCTATAAATGTTCTATCCGGCCGTCTCCGGAAAAATCCATGGACAAATGCACATATTGAATCCGGTAGCGCCCGATAGATTATTTTATATAGGTCTCTATGGGGTATTTTAAAAAGGGTTTGTTAGCTATATACCTACATGATTTAATGTATTTATTCCCAGTGTAAAATTATTATTTGTTACATTGTAGCTAAGTATTTGCAGATTTACTACTGAAACTTAATTAGCTAATTGACGTTTTTAGTGCAGTTGACATCCCTGCTTAAGTTAGGCAGTTAATTATAGCTTAAGATGACAGTATTAGGTGTTTGGAACTCCTTATTTACTTAATGTTCTTAAGACAATTATATTTAAAACCTGTATAACAATTGAGCACCCTAGAAGCCAAGGGGTATAAGTACATTTTGTTTAGTTTTGAGATAATAATGTCTATGCTTAGAATTCAATTTTATTCCTTAGATATGTCGTCAGTAGGCAGCAGAAATTTTAGTAGGATTTGAAATAAATTAAAGTACCAAAAAATATATCTAGGACGAGGGGGTAGTCACTTGCGATTTCTTAGGACAGAAAATCTCCATTTGTGGAGATCTTCTTGAAACTCCGCAGATCTCCATGGATATTCTTGGATCTCCAGGGATATCCTGGGATCTCTAGAGATATCCTTGGATCTCCATGAATATCCTTTGGATTTCCATGGATCTCCATGAATATCATTTGGATTTCCATGGATCTCCGTGTATCTCCTCTAGACCTCCAACCTTCTTTATCTCTGCCTCCATATACAATAACTTTTTAATTTTATATGGAATTAGATCTTGGGATAAAACACGTTTTTGCTGTCAGAAAGTCGTATTTTGATATTAATAATAATTTGTATCCATATTTATAAAATGGATAAATCACAAACTGTTTAGCGGTAGTAAGTAGAATATATTACGAGTGGTTTGTAATACTTTACTCGACTTTACCTTATAATAGTAGATTATGTACCTACCAAGGCAGAAAATGGATTATTTTTGTCGAATGACTGTATACAGGGGTAAAATAAAACTGAGTTAGTTAACGTTATAACGTTAACTAACTCAGTTTTATTTTACCTCCGCATTTAACTAACAACTTGTTATGGTGTGGTTTGTAATACTTTACTCGACTTTACCTTATAATAGTAGATTATGTACCTACCAAGGCAGAAAATGGATTATTTTTGTCGAATGACTGTATACGGGGGTAAAATAAAACTGAGTTAGTTAACGTTATAACGTTAACTAACTCAGTTTTATTTTACCCCCGTATTTAACTCACAACTTGTTATGGTATTTTAGAGGAGATACAACATCTGAACATAAAATTAATAGAAAAACAAAAAATTATAACATCAACTTAGTTTTATTAAAATAAAAAAGTTTAACACATGACTAATTATAACATCAACTTAGTTTTATTAAAATAAAAAAGTTTAACACATGACTAGTTATATACTAAACAAAACATACAATGCAAAAAAACAATTGTTAAATAGGTATTAATACCTATTTAGGTATTATAAAATAACAAAAAACATAGAAACACCAAGATTATTATACAATAACAAAAAAACTTATTGTAGAGGAACACTACGTAAAAAGAAACATTATATAATCACCGTAATGATAACTCCAGAGTAATTTGGAATAAACACATAAAATAGGAACAAATTATCACTATAAAATTTTAAGGAACCCGAAAGAAAAACTCTCTCTAAGACAAATCTGAGTTAAACACTTTTTTTTAAAGATTTATGTAGAGTCTGTATTTTTACTCTGTCTGATCTTGACAGTTTCATACGGTGGGTACCGAGCATTGTAATGGGCCCATACATAATTTGAATTGGCTCTATTAGTTGGAGATCATCTTGTTTCGGCCAATAGAATTCTTCAAGGTCTTCTTTCATAAACTTCATTTGAATATTTTCAGTTAGGTTTTCTTGATCTTCATTAACCACCTTCGAGACCACCTTTCCAATATACCACATTTTACCATACATGACTGCATAATAGTGCTCATTTAAAATGTTTATTTTTCGCGTATCACATTCTTCTTCTCTTTCAGAGTTAATCCCAGGTAACACAACGTGACGAAACAGTGACGATTTGTGTCCATTGTGTCCAACTGGACACAAATCGTCACGGTTTCGTCACGTTGTGCTACCTGGGATGTCTGAGATCTCCGTGGAGTCGTTACAAGAAAACTCATTCGAATCACTTTCAGTCTCACGTTCAGCGCTCGTTTCAGAACTAGATGAATTTCGGCGGGATGTAGAGGGTGCGTTTTTTGCTCGGTTTTTTATTTTGTGACTCTTTGGTAGCCTTTTTCGTGAGGTTTTTTGTTTTGATGTCTTTTTAATACCACCTCTAATATTAATTTTTTTCTTTCTATTTCTGTGCTCAATTTTGAATTTTCATTAAAGAACCAACATAGGGACGATTTTTTAAAGGTTTTTATGAAGCCATTCTCCAAAACAACTTTAAGGAATCGACTGTTATTATCAGAAGGCTTTAGCTTTTTGCCAGTGAAGTCTTTCAGTGTTAGGGATCCCTTGTAAGACTCCAGGTATTCTCTGACATTCTCGGACGGTGAATCGCTATCGTCAAACCGATTTGTTTTATTGTCTTCCAGAAAGTTTTGTATGCTACCGGAACTGTCTTCGTAGTGTTGCACAATATTATCATCTAAATCACAGTCAGGTTCTTCATCAAGATCTTTGCTCTCACAGTCTAAATCTTTGATTTCATGCAGGTCAACTATAAAAGTGCTTCGAGGAAATGTAAATTGACCCTGCAATTCTGTTTTAACATCTTCTAGGTAATGAATTCGATTTAATCTGTTTAAAATTTCTAGCTTACTGTAGTTGGTGTAAACATATTTGTAGTTAAACTTTCATCCCTAGAAAATTTCTTAATAAGTGATATTATTGCGTGGGCATTTATTTCAATGCAAGTGTAAGAGTTTAATGAAATAAAATTATCCTTTAATGTATACAAGTCTGATTGCTTAATCCACTGGCGCCATATTCGTAAAATAAACACGCAGTACCAAAGATTGTATATTCTGTCTTCCACTGCCATTTCTTTTTGTAAATAGGCATCCAAAACTTTCTTTATAATGGTTAAGTATAACACAGATGCATTGCTATCAATAACTTCAGTCTTCAATAATTCAATCACCTTTGTATCACAAATTTTTAGAACGGACGCAAAATTCATTTTATCCTCCCAGTCGAGGTCTGTCGCTACCAAAAAGTGTAATCCTATCAAAATTACATAATAAATATCTTAGGTGGTCGACAGACACAAAAAAATTTCCAAATGGTAACAAAATATTTGGTTTTATTAGTCGGTTTCTTAGCTTTGTGCCTATGTGTACTGTATCTTGCACAGATATAATTTCAGGATCAACGGTGGCATGAAACCATGGCCATTTACTAATTTGTTGAACTAAAGACAATTTAGACATGTATTTCATAACTTTTAACAGGCGACTGTCACCGTCCGAAGACATTCCAATAACTGCTATTCCTTGAGCCTTAGCAATAGATACTGTAGTTCTCCATCTTTTCAGAACATCCTTGGCATTAAATTTATTATCTGAACCATATACGCAGTAACAAAATGAAGAACTTTTGTCTTCTAAAGGTTGTGCAACTAGTGCATATGCATAGTTGGCTTTGCTCTCTTCTTTAAATTGTCGTTGTATCTCATGAACTAATGTTGCCTTAAAAGCCTTATTATTTGGATATCCATCTGAGTTAAAGGGAAGTACAAATCCAACATTAGTGTTTGTCGCTGGGCAATATTGAATTCTTCCGTTAATTCTAGTGCCATCTTCGCTTAACCATACTACTTTTCGAAGGTTCCGTTTTTCCAAATTTTACATTCGCCAATAAATAATACACGGACTACTACATCTACGCTTTACTCATACAAGTACATTCTTGAGCACACCACTAGCCGACATGTTTGTATACAATTTAGCCGAAAACAGACGTGCACGTGTCGCCGAAGATCTATGGCAAATGGCCAGTTAAAATGATATGTGCACGCAATTACGCTTTTCCGATTCAACACGACTGCAGCCGAAGTTCTTGGATCTCTACGTATCTCCACCGGATCTCCACGA